TTGCAGTCACATGATTTTCTGACGTCTTTCAGCCAATTAAAATTCAGGGTATGGTGTAACGTAAAAAATTCAAAACAAACGTTTAAAAATTGCATTTCACCCAGTTTTTTAGGTTCGACGATATTTGTTTTCCGACTATCACGTGACAGTAAACCAATCCTAAGCCCTGTCAAAATTAAAATAGTACCGTAATGAAGAAAATTATGAAAAAGGATTCAAAACGCTATTCCAGAACTTTGGTAAATTTCAAGTGTAGCTTATGACAGAAAATGAAAATTGACATATTAATATCTTGGTATACTTAGGCAAACATTGATAAAAAACAGCAAGTCGCGGTTAAACAACTACAAACACAAGCCATAAGCATTCCCTCCGAAGAATATATTGAACGTGCACAGGGAGCTCGTTCCATTGTTACACGTGGCTTCTTGCAAAATGATAACAAACAAGCTTCACACGACGATCAGAATGATATTCCTGACGATTCCGCTTTAGCTATTCTAAAAAGATATTCCGAAAGTAGTGAATCAGAAAATGACGAAGGCAATATATCTCCGTGCGAATTGGCAAGTATGGGGGTCGAAGATCGCCATCGACTATTATACAAAAAGAGTACTGGTGATAAAAATTACACTGACGATGAAGTTGATGAGAATTCCGATGATGAGGTTTACACTGACAATGTAGTTGATGGGGGTAGAAAGAAAAAGGTAAATCTTTGTGTAGATTTCAAATTTTAAAAATTTTATGATAAAGCCTTTCTGTGTACTCTTAGAATAGCGAAATTCCTCTGCAAGAAAAGCAAAGGAAAGAAATAAACGATAGTTTTAATTTGATGGATAAAAATAAAATGTGGAAATTATCATCCGGTCGGAAGAGGAATTATACGAATTAGGAAAGAAGCTAGACTATGAGCAGTAAGGATACAAATTATGTCCCAATTTGGTAATTATGATATGTAATATTAACTATAGTTTTGCATTTCTAGTGCAATACATTCTTTTATATTGGACGTTGAAGATGAAGCTGTGCTTAATCATTTTACCGAAGAGGGGATAGAGGAAATAGATCAGGCACGGGGTCCTACCGCTCCTGAGTTGTCTGAAAATGTAATAGATTGTTTAAGTAAATTCTCTGGCAAGGTAGATGATATATTTATTTATTTATTGTCAAATTTACTCGTATTTCAATAATTTGCAAAGTATGTTTTTGGCAGACCGATTTACACGAAATTAGGAAAATTCTTAAAGAAATTGCCTTTGATGACAAATATGATATTAGAAAAGATCATGATGTTGATTATATCATATTTGCTATACACGCTTTGTAAGTAACCTAGGGATGGGTTCGACTACGAACGGCTACGATTATTCATAGCCAATTTGCTAAATACTGAGATGATTTTTTGTTCT